GTATTAGTTGTCTTTGTCTTATAAGTGTGTAACATTCCAAATTTATCCTTAGCATATCACATATAGTTTCATTAATGTGTGTCTGTATATGTTTTTTTTACAATAGTTCAATTTGAAAGTGAGTTATGAACATTTCAATTTATGCTATTTTATCCACCCAAAATTGTTCTATTGTGAAATTTCACAAACAAACACAGATAATGTTCTAGCCATCAAGTTTCTTAAGAAATCGATTTATTCTAGTCTTAAAACTAACTAAACTACACGTGATCTCCTGACCGTAATTTGTTATGTTACACACTTTAAGAGAGAGAACAAATGCCAGTATTGGATTCCSTTAACATCATTTATTTTCTTTCTATTTTAAGAATTAGAATGTATTATCTTGAATATATATATACATTGAAATATATTAATGCACTATAGGTATCTCTTATGTGCGATTATTTTTCCCACATCGGTCGTAAATTAAGTGCAATAATAATAGATGCTACTTTGATGTTTGGATTTTGTTCAGTTTAATAACAATTTCATTCTGTACTGTCTTACAATAATTAACTATGATATTTGAACTACACTATCTATTATCTATTGTATTTGTTATAATAAGTATGTAGGTATCCTATATGTATTGTAATTGTTGATTTTTTTTATAATWAAGTTATTAAATATTTTCAGAATGATTTAGATGACCCTGAAAGAGGAATGATTCTAGTTTGTAGTGCTACACACAAGACTAAGTCTATGTTTTTCTTCTTGGTTCAGACTGAACAAGGTGATGTTTTCAAAGTGACATTAGAGACCAATGAAGAGTTTGTTACAGAAATTAGGTTGAAATATTTTGATACTGTACCAGTAGCTTCTGCCATGTGTGTTCTAAAAACTGGTTTTTTATTTGTTGCATCTGAGTTTGGTAACCAGTGAGTATTATATTTCAAATTTATTGATAATAAACGAGTATTAATATTTTTAAATTATATAGTTATTTGTATCAAATTGCGAATTTGGGYGATGATGATGATGAGCCAGAGTTTAGTTCAGCAATGCCTCTAGAAGAAGGAGATACATTTTTTTTTGCTCCAAGGCTATTGAGAAATTTAGTATTAGTTGATGAAATGGATTCATTGTCACCTATTATGGCGTGTCAAGTTGCCGATTTAGGTAATAATATTAAATTGTATACTTATTTCCTATTATGAGTTTTAATAATGGACTAATTTAAACTTTATTATAATAAGAAATTGACCAACAACTTACYATTTTTAATCATTTTGGTTAAAAGTTCAATATTGGTTGGAAGAAAAAAATCGTTTAACTATCCTACAACTTAGTTGTTAATTAAATTAGTTGTGTGGAAACACTCGATACATTTTTTTTTTTTTCAATAACTTTATATTTTAAAATAAATATAATTTATTGATATTCATATTAACTATAGCTATAATCTTATTAAAAATGATGATAAAATTACACGTCTGGCCTGAATGTTAAATGATGCCAGTGTTAATCTGCGGATCTGATTTAG